CATAACCCAACTTTTTGAGCCTTACGAACCTTTTTGAGAGAAGGTAAATCTTATTTTGCACTTTATGGATATTGGACATCAAGTATAGCAATTGCAATGACACTAAAAAATCCATAGATATTAGAATAATAGATTTATCAAGAATAGAAAAAAAGAGCAAAGAAGGGAGAAAAACTCGAGAAAGGGCATTAGTATCAACTATAAAACTCTCTGAGTGATGAACAACCTCGAAATTATATATCTAAAACTTCAAAGCATATTGAACAATATGATTAATTAAGCTATTTTGCTTCAATAATGAAGTAATTGCAACATGATCATTTTTTAATAATATTCAAAAATTATATAGATATGCATGAAGTTTCTCAAAACCCAAAACTACTATTAAACACTCTTTTGCCATAGAGTAGTTGTACACCAAAATTAAAGGAATTGTTAATAGCTCTTTGAAATTTATAAACACCCCCTCATAGTCTATAGACAAGATAAAAGATGATATTAATAACTTTAACAATGTTTGCAACAATACAATGCAATTAAAAAGATGATTAATGAAACGATTGAGATATTACACCTTGTCTAAAAAGCGATGCACATTATTCATACATTTCAAAGTAAGAAACTTGAGAAGATCCACAAGTTGTGAGACACAAAATCCCTAGGCCCCAAAGTGGAGCCGAAATGGCACCACGTGGTAGTGGCCGAAGCGAAAACCAAACGAGCATAACACGTTTGGACTAAAAGCTCCAACTTGAAAGGTTGAGAGTGGAAGTGGAACTCCCAATAACGTGCTCGAGGAACAAGCACAAAACAAACAGTAAGTGAGTCTCTAGAAAAGGGACACAAGAGGACCCAAGATGGAGTCCGAGATGAACCCGAGATGGAGTCCGAGATGGACCGAGATAGAGTCCGAGATGGACCAAGATGGAGTCCGAGATGGACTGAGATGGAGTCTGAGATGGACTCAAGATAGAGTCCGATATGGAGTCCAAGATGGAATCCGAGATTGGAATCCGAGATGAAGTCCGAAGTCGAGATCGAGACCGAGACCGGGACCAAGACCGAGACCGAGACCAAGTCTAAGCCCGAGTTCGAGTCCGAGTCCGAGTCTGAAAGGGTGAAAGCCCAAAGCGTTCATCTCCCAGACCCTAGGGGGTTTGGTGAGCTCCAAAAGTATAGTAGGGGGGAAGACTCTAGTGGAGCCAATTTGGCTAGGAAAGATTAGTTTATCCTAGGAAGGTTGTACCCAAGTGTTGGGTGATGGGATAACCACTGGGAAGTCCAAAACTAGAGTGAATACAGACTGACAAGTGGGGTAGTTTGGTGAAGTGTTCAAGAGCCGATTTTAGTTCCCCTGGGAGATCGAATAGTCAATGCTCCCAATCCAAGTGTGGGTGGCACTACCTACTTGGACACCAGACATGGCTTAATAGAACCTTGCTTTAAGCCCATGGCTAGAGCACCCAAAGGCGGAAGGCAAGGAGAGTACCCAGGAGGCCCGCGTAGAGCCACAGTGTTCCGAAATGCTATCCCAAAGTCCCAGACTGTGGAAAGGAAGAGGAATAACCCTCTAGTGTGGTGACCAAGAACACAACCACATGGTGAGGAAGTCCCAGAGGACCATAGGATTAGTGGTCAGGCCTGTGGGCCTTGATCTAGTGGCAGTGTTGACGAGCACGGCCATAGACAGAAAGGGACTTGGTGGGGACCAAAAAAGGGATATTGGGGAAGGTTATTCCCCATGTCTGTGGGCATTCTAAGGATGCTAAAGGGTGGATCTGGGATGATCACTCATGGACGGATGGCCTAGTCTTTGAGAGACGGGATTGTGATGTAGGTGGTGTTAGACCACCGGTGTGACTAATGTGAATGGGCATGGCCTTAGCATAACGGGTTGATATGTTAGTGGTATTTTGGGGTGTCGATCATGGGATCGGACATATGGAGCACTTGGACCAAGTGCAATGGTTGAGTGGCATGGATGTTATTCTTGGGGTTAGCAAGTCCTTAAGTCCAAAATAAGACTTATGGAAGTTGTGAGTGAAAATCTTCCAAGTGGTCGGAAGTGTGGTTAAGTGACTAAAGTAAAATGGAAAATTTAGTCGCTTACACAAGTTTGTTAGGATTAACTTACAAACTTTTACAAAAAATACGGTACCCAAGATAAATCATGTCTTTGGACCCAAATACATACTTCAACTGCTTCAACTTTAAATTAACTTTCTATAATTGATCTAACACTTTATAAACATCATGGATATACTTTTTATACATCCCCTCTGAGTGGATTAACACATCATCGATTAAGTCAATAGTCATTTCCGGCATATCACAAAAAACCTATCCATCATAAATTAGAAAGTTGCTGAAGCATTAGTCAAACCGAATGGTATCACTAACAACTTGTACAAACCAAATGATATACAAAAAACAATCATAAGAATTATCTTCTTCAGCCATAAACACTTATCAATACCCAAAAATAATATCTAACTTGGTGAACCAACTACTTCTTCCTGGACAATCTAAGAGATCAACAGTGTGACGATACACATTTAAGATAGTCACTTTATTTAATGATGATAATCGATATAAAAACAAATACTTCTATTAGGCTTCATCATAAGATGAAGTTCAAACACCCAAGGACTTTACAAGTTTAGATAACACCCATTTTCCAAAAAACCACCAATATCTATGATAGATGAATTTGAGGCTACTTTTTGTTATGTTTTGCCCCTCATTATGACATGGAGAATGCTTGCACAGAATTTTAACATTTCTAGCAAAGGAAAATGACACTTGAAGTTTATGTATAAGTCCTATCAGATCTTGATAAAGTGTTGGCCACAACATTTTTAATATGATCTACTTTGATATATTTGGCTCCACACAAAGCAAAAAACTTTAGAAGCAAATGCTAAATTACATCATTGACTTAAATGGCCCAAAGTGTCCATGAGAATGTTTTAATTTACATGAGTGGCTATGCTCAAACTATTGTACTATTGCAATGCAGAGATATACAAGAAACTCATACAAATATCAAGCATCATTGTAAAAATGATAAGTAGCAATCACCATAAAATAATTAAACCAATGGTACATATCATCCCTAGAATTCCTACAAAAGAACTCTAGTCAGACATAAGGATTGATAGTAAAAGTAGGAGGAACTATACCATATGTTATGAATATTATTACTAATTGAGTTTGATTGTTCAACTATAATCACATAGCATCAAGTAACTACACTTACTCCAAAACTACTCTAGGGCTCACAATGGAACTTTTAATGTAGCTCAAAAGTGGTTGGATGGTGAAAAACGTCAAGAGGAAGCATAACATAGTTAAGAGAGATTAGATCTTTATCTTTTAGTGTTGGATCTTAACATTGATATTATAGAAAGGAGAAAGAGGCTACTACTCTACTATGAAAATAAACTAAAAATTAAAAAAGTTATAAGGAAAGATCTAAACCAAAATCTTAAATCCAAGCATTTTTTAGGGATAATCAAAGTTGCCCTTCATCTCCACCAATATAAGTGCATGGATATGGAAATGTAATATAGAAATATATATATCAATTAGCCAAAAACCTTGGCTTATATACAAAGAGTAAGTGATCAACTCAAAACCAGTCCAACAATTATCACGCTAATATTAGTATACAACATCGTAACTGTATATTTGGACCTTACATTATGATTTTTCTTAAAATAAAAATAATATACTTTTTGATTATATTTTTATATAATTTTAGGATGTATTGAAATCTTATAAAAGACCTCTCCCTAATCATTGAATTTCACAGTAATCATTACAATATAAAATAGTATTACTCCTTGTTTAAAAAAAGGATTAATTTCTTTTTATATTTTATCATAACTTAAGTGTACCAATTAAAGTAAATTTTAGATTTTAGTACAAAGGATGTAATTACGATCAAGATTAATGAGATTAATGCTTTCATTTTTCTTCTTTAGTGACTAGCTGAAATTTTTGGAATAATAGGCCAACACACCAAGTTCCCAAGTTATATAATCCATCCAACAAATGAGACTTACCATATAAGTATGCACAATGTCGAGCTATGCATATACCAAGTGCAAATAGGATCCAATGAAATCTCATATCTGGGGTTGTTGATTCTGCATGCATCCTTGCATGAGAACTTTCATTTTACTCCCAGCTTGGCCAATTTATCTCAAGCTTTCCTTTAGTGGGAAATGGATGAAGATGTCTCTCTTGCATCCAGGCTTAAGCGCTGCAATAGCGCTCTGGAAGCACAAACGCTCCACGAGAGAGTGTTGAGTGCTCACAAGGGTGATCGATATCTCGCAAATCTGGCCATCCAGATGCACGGCCGACGTGGCAACGTGGCTAAAGCAAGGAGCGTATTTGACGGCATCGCACGACCCAACGTTTTCTCGTGGAACTCGATGCTCTTGGCATATGCCGCGAACGGGCATCTAGAGGAGGCCGAGAGGATATTTCAAGGGACATTGCTTAGAAACATCATGTCGTATAATTTAATGATGCTAGTTTACACGAAATCTTGTTACGTCGAAAAGGCTAAAAACATTTTTGATACAATGCCTGATCGAAACCTTGAGAGCTGGAACGCAATGATCAAAGCAAATGCCGAGTGTGGGCATTTGATCCAAGCGAAGGATGTGTTTGATCGAATGCCCGAGCGTGATGTTATCTCCTGGAACACGATGATCGCTGCTTATGTCCGAACCGAGAACACGCAAGAGGCCAAGGCACTGTTTGATGATATGCCCGAGAAAGGTATCGTGACGTGGAATACAGTCTTGTCCGCGTGTAACAACGACGTGGATGCCACGCACGCTGTCCTGCAGCAAATGCCCGAGTGGAATGTGGTGTCGTGGAATACCGCGCTGACCACGTTTGCAGACAACGGGCAGCTGTCCGCCACGGTGGATCTGTTTGAGAGGATGCCGGAAAAGAACGCGGTGACGTGGAATGCCATGATAATGGCATATGCCCAAAACGGGCATTTGGCGCTTTCTGAGGCGTTGTTTCATAAGATGCCCAGGCCAGACATAGTGACGTGGAACACAATGCTAAAGGTGTTTTCAAGTTTTGGCGACTGTAAAAACGTTTTTGACACAATGCCGGGATGGAATGTGGTCTCTTGGAATATTATGCTAGCCGCATATGCTCAGAATGGGCATATACTAGAAGCAGAACGTTTGTTTAAAGCAATGGCAGATTGGAGTGTGATCACGTGGAACATAATGCTAGAAGGATATGCTTTAGTTGGAAAAATTGAAGATTGTAGAAGGATATTTTTTTCAATAAAAGAGAGAAGCTTGGTATCTTGGAATTGTTTGATTCAAGCGTATGCCGAGAAAGGGGATGTTGAGTATTCGAAGTGTCTGTTTGACAAGATGCCCGAGAGAGACGTCATCTCCTGGACGGCAATGGTGGTGGCATATTCGCAGAATGGCTACTTTCAAGATGCCAAGAATCTCTTTGTGGAGATGCCGGAGCGCAGTGTGGTATCTTGGACGGCAATGTTGAGAGCATATGCCTGGGCAGGGCATGTAGAAGAAGTAAGAATCTTCTTTGATAGAATGCCTGAGAGAGACTCAGCAGCATGGTCTGCAGTAATATCTTCAGTCTCAAATGCTGGAAATGTGAAGTGTGCTATTTTTTTTATGGTTACCATGAATCTGGAAGGCTTTGATGTTGATGAGATTACAATGATAAGCATTCTAGCAGGGTGCAGCGAAAAAGGAATGCTGGAAGAATGCCGCTGGTATTTGCTTGCAATGATAAATGACTATGGTCTAGTGCTAATTGAGGAGCACATATGGGTCATCATAGATTGCTTAGAACGATCAGAGCACAAAGAAAAATTTCCTAAAGTATCACCTCTTGTATATTCTTCAAAGAATGTGCACTAAAAATCCTTCAACCTCTTTTTCTTTCGCTTGTTTTTTTTTTTTTTTTTTTGTTGCTAATCTTCAGTCTCTACAAACCCAACATTGGCGACAAGGACCATCTTGTCCCGTGTTCTTCCCTTCAGCACAGCAACATCCTTGACTTTGTCTAGGAGCCCTTCCAGATCCTGGACGCCAAAAGCCGCGTAGTCTGGATCCTTGGAGTACCTCTGTCTGTAGATCCTGAGAAGATCACTCACCAGGATATGATACTGGAAGCTAACCAGCAGCTCCTGGAGCTCCCGCTTGAAAGCCTCTCTCGCAAGCTCACTACCACCACCACCACTGCCACTACTACTCTCCACCACTTCCTGGATCTCGATCACCTCCTCCACCTCTCGATGCTGCTCGCTGCCTCGCTCATCCGGCGAGTCGGACGAGTCTTGAGAAACGTCCAGCTTGCTCACGTAAACCACCACTTCCTCGTCCACCATGCTCTTGGATTCCTCCTTTGGAGCCTCGATCTCCTGTTCCTCCACCTCGTTCTCCCTCTCGTCGTCGTCGTCCTCTTCGTCATCGTCCTCGTCGTTTTTGCCTTCACAAGCGCTCCCCCACACCTCTTTGTATCTCGCAGCCATGCGCTTCCCCATGGCCGTCAGGTGGACCTTCCTCTGTGAGCCTTTTCCCTTGATACACACCGTGTCTTGCATCCTCTCGATCAAGTGAACCAGCCTGCGCGACCCGTAGTCGGCCATGTAGAGTGGCTTCTGGTAGAGCTTGATATACTTCGATGGTATCTTGAGCATCAGCATCTTCCCGCCGTGCAAGCTCAGTAGCTTCACGAGCTGCCGCTTCAAACCGGAGATATCCCCCGGTTGGACGAAGGACGGGCTCCCTGGATCTTCTGGCTCCACCGGAAGTGCCGAAGACGTGCTTGGTTGCGACGTTGTTCGCACATTGATCTGAGTCCACTGAGGACTCGGGCTCATTTGCTGCGGAGAGTGACGCTCCTGCTGCTGCTGCTGCTGCATCAATCCCCACTCGCCACTGCCCTCCCTCCTAACGTACCCCCGAGGCTGAGGAACTGGAATAGGTGGCGAGAGTCCGGCGGCGCCTCTGCCAGTTTCGTCACCCGACTCGTCGCTAAACATCACCGGGAACCGTCGATCCACACTCTCCCGGGGCTGGAAAGGCCTCGCCGGAACGAGGCCGTGTCCCCGAGCAACGCTGGTCCAGTCCCACACGTACTTCCCAGCGCTGCAAAGGCTTCCGGAGACATATCCGGAAGGAATGGCGAGCACCACCGTGTAGTCGCGCTGCCCGAGCTTGTGGAGCGCCGGGGCGAAGTCGACGTCGCCGGTGATGAGAAGGATGGTGCAGGGTGGCCGGTTGTCCAGCGCGAACAGGAACATATCCACGAGGATGGCTTTGTCCGACGCATTCTTCCTGCCGTTTGGAACGTCGATGAGGTTGACGCCGGTTCTCTGGCAGCCTTCTCTCACCTTGCGTGGGAAATGGTTGAAGTCGCCATAAGCCGAGAACATTTTCACGGCGCCCCGGGTAGAAGAATGCATTCTCAGCGCCATCCTCACGTTTCCAGCAACCTCCTCGGGATTCACCTCGCCTGGAACCGTGCAATTCTCGATGTCCCACAGAATTGCCACCGGAGCACTCGGGATTTTCTGGTGTTGCTGCTGCTGCTGCTGTTCTTGCTGCTGCTGGATCCTCATATCCTCTCTTGGCACTCCAGTTCCAAATCCTTGCGTTGCTCGGGAAGGACCACTGCTACCAGAGTTGCCGATCCCTGTGAGCGCACTGCCGGACCCCATTGCGCCTTCCAAAGATCTTCTCCAGCCAAGAACCCACTAAAAGCCGATCAAATCCTGGAACCCATTGACTTCCCGGGGGCGGGAGAGCGATCTACCACCGGCCTAGCCTACGATCCAAGCGACCCATCTCGCCTTTGCCGGCGAAGGAAGAGAACCAAAAAAAAATTGTCTCCACCACCGCCCTTACGTACAGCACGGACCTGAGCCAATCCCCTGGAACCACGTGTCGGGCCATCGACATATCCACAGTCTTTGGTAACTTAGTATCACTGTCCCTGGTTCTTCTTCCTCTTCCTCTTTGGCTTCTTTTTCACAGCGTCCAAGAGACTCGTTGGCTCGAGCTTTGCTTCTTTTTGCGCTGCCACTTCCACCATCTCTACATCTGTGTTCTTCTCCGTCGAAAACACGGGACCAAGTTGCCTGTCTTGCTGTTGTGGCGGAAGTGCTTGGTACACTGATGCCGCAGAAACCAGGCCTTGAATCCCTCCTGGCTGTGTTTCCACTTTCACTGACTTTTTGACTGCCAGATCAAACTCGTCCAGTGCCTCAGCATCTGCATTTTACAGTTAAAAGCAGGGAAAAAGGAAAAACTTGGAACTTTACCGAGTGGTTTTGCGCTCTGGAGACTCCTGAGAGAGTGAAACGTTCATGTCAATTCGATACAAGGAAAGCTGAAGTGACGTGACTTGCATACCAAGTAGAAGCACCGCCTTGGAACAGTCGTCCTTCCTCCTTCCGTGCTGTGTCTTCTTTCGCGTCCGGCTCCTCCTCTTCGCTGTCCGTGTCGCTTTCCATCGGTGTAGCTTCAGCTTCCAGCTTTAAGCTTCCGGTTGAAGTGAATTCGTTAAGCTGTGGGCCTGTGTTAAGCTGTGGAACTGTATCAGCAACGACTTGGGCGGTCTTGCTGTCTTCTGACGGTCGATGCCGTCGGACTTTTCTTTGCGCTCTTTCGATCTCATGACTTTCGGCCTGAGAAGCGACCGCATTGTAAATTGAAAAGGAAAAGCAGAAAAGAAGCATACCCCTTTCTTCAATAGAGCCGCGGTTTCAGCGGCCTTTGACGCTGCTATACGCATGCATCGTAGTATTTCATTCATCCGGACGGCAACACCACCTCCTTTCTGGATCGCACAAACTTCTCCGTGAGCGTTGACAGTCACTGTTAAACGGCCACCCATCACCGCTTCTTCCTTCAAGCTAGGATCTAACACCTGCAAAGTAAAATTCATAAGAAAAACAACGACAAGTGTCACACACAACGAAAACTTACGACTAGCTCGCCATCAGCCAAAAACCCGAATGTTACAGCTATTGGCAAATGATGTAGCGTAAGAGGAAGTGGCTCGCGAACCTGAAAGCACAAGGCCAGAATAAGATCAAGCAGAGAGCGTTTGAGAAAACCTCAGGAGGATGGATAGTTATATCCTGACCATCTGCACCACCAATGCTACATTCCGGCCTTCGAAACGAGAGAAGCCCAGCTAGAGCAGCCAGATTGGCAACGTCTATAAGATTACTGCCAATGAAAACCAAATGCTATCGTTCGAATGGACCAAACATCAAGAAAAAAGCTTACCCTCCATTGTCTAGAATGTGAATATCGATGCGCAAAAACCACACGGCTTTTCCTGCTAGAACACACAGTGATTCTGTGTCCACGGCCCTGCTTTCCCTGGAAACAGTAACAGTGAAGTCGATTGTTCTACACGAAAAGAAAAGAGAGAGAGAGAGAGAAAGTGATGGAGCATACCTTAAGCCACGATCGATAACACGTCCCAGCTCTACTGCTAATTCCCCAGGACGCCCAGGCTCAAAGGAAGGATCAGCCATTGGCGAAAATTCCGTGTTAATGACCAGGGAGCCCTCGTTTGGACGATCCGGGTATGGCGTCCCCAGCTGAGCGCTCACCACGGCCAGCACCCTCGTCTCCCCTTGCTGGACTTCCACAGCTCCATCTTCCCTGCCGAGAGAGAGATTTCGAGCGAATCGAGAGAACTTTCTCCTCTTACCTGGCGAAATTGATGAGCGAGCGGCGAGAATCAAAGGGAGCCCGGCCATCGACGCGCAGCTCCTGCCGCAGCGCCGATTCCACGAACTCCCGCTCGTTGATGCTAATGCGCACGCTGCCCGCCATGGCCAAAAACCCTAAACCTTAAACTTTAATAAGCTTAAAGTCTTATTATATTATTATTATAGCCAGTGAATCAGGATGGTGTTTAGGCGATAAGATGAAAGCGTTTTAATTATTTTAATTATTGATTTTCTTAAAAACTTATTCCTGGGTAAAATAAACGCATCTGCCCGGTCCAATATCATAGAACAATCCATCCCACGGAATTCTTGTGAACCACGTGAATCTCCATAGAATATCTGTAAAGGATAATAGTAAACAATAATAATCTATGAGGAGACTCCAGAAACCTTCTGCCATCGATGGTGTGTGATGCCGAAGTGAACAGTTTCGACGTGATACATTTTCCATAGAAGATTAAACTGCCCAGCATCTCCATGAAATCCTGCCCAGTTTTGAAAGATGTTTAAGAACAACAGGGACTAACCATGATCTTTGACCCGCCATGTTCAAAGATCCCAGACGAGGATTAGTATGTCATGTTTACAACCAAGCACATTGGTGTGCAAAGGATAAATAGCTTTGGTACCATATGGTGTGGTACAAGTTGACAAACTACATAATGTAGAAAAAGCATGCACATGCAGGAGAGACTTAAAATATCCAGTCGGTACACAAAAAACTCAAACTCTAATAGGATTAAGCCATTTTATTATGTTTAATGAATTATAAACCTACTAGACCATGTCTATGAATTATAAACTAGATTACGACTTTAAACTATTAAATGTGATGGTTTTTGCGCATGAAAAACACGCTTTTCTACATTAAGGAGTTTGTCACCTTCCAACTTGCAGTACACAATGTTGTTGTTTTCTAATGGTGATGAGTCCAGTTTAAATTCAGACACTCCTTTCCCTTGTTATCAGATTCATCCTTTGCACAACAATGCTTCCAGTGAAGATTGTCTCCTTTCTTTGCTTGGTTTTCCTCGCAGGTTAATAGCCACAGAAGGATATGTAGAGTTCTACTCTGAGGCTTTTCTTCGTGTTTTTCTCTTTTGGCAGATGCTACCAGTGGTCTAGAACATCAGTCGCCAATTGCTTTGAGCTTCCGGGGGTCAGTTGGTACTCCAGGAATTGTGGACACAAGATACAAATCCTCCTCTGCAATCTTTGAAAATGGCGGGGAAAAAGATCACAGAGAACTCACTGTTTGTAGCTAGAATTATTGTCTTTTTATTCTTACATCTTTCAAAACTAGGTGGGATTTCTTGGAGATGCCGGGCAGTTTAATCTTCTCCGGAAAATATACCACATCGAAAATGTTCACTTTCACATGCCAAGCGAGCATACCATTAATGGCAAAAGGTTTTCGGAGTCTCCTCATAGATTATTAATTGTTTACTATGATCCTTTGCAGATATCCTATGGAGATTCATGTGGTTCACAAGAATTCCGAAGGGAACATTGCAGTAATTGGATTGCTCTATAATGTTGGACCAAGGGCAGATCCATTTATTACCCAGGTGGATTTATTCTTGTTCTTGTTTTGTGTAAAACTTAAATTTATTTTAAACTTCAGCTGGAACGCTATCTTCCAACGTTAGCATCCTCCCCGGAAGAAAGCAAGGCTGTGTTTATAAGAACTATCAATCCCGGACTGCTTCGAATCCCTGCGGACATGTTCTTCCGATACAATGGCTCGCTTACAACCCCTCCATATTCCGAGAATGTCGTGTGGAATGTTTATTCCCAGGTGAGAGTCCTGCTACCTGCCTTCTATGCTCATAGTTTTTGTTTTTCTTTGGTTTCCACAGCCGAGAAGTCTCACAACAAACCAGTATTTCTCAGTCAAAGCTGCTTTGAAGGTATCTTTACTCACTAATCAAATGAATAATCAGGAGTTATTTTCTTTTTCTATATAGGGAGAAAATGCAAGGGCTCTTCAGCCACTGAATAACAGGCTTGTTCAATTGGTTCAGCTGGTTAGGAGTGACTATCATGGACGAAGTTCCTTCTAAAGCTTTGATAATCATAATCAAATGTCTTACTAATAATAATAATGATAATAAGGACAACAATTAGAGTTTAAGGGTTACCGCCGCTCGCCGCTCGAAATCTTTCTCTCGGCAGGGAAGATGGATCTGAGCAAGGTGAGACGATGGTGCTTGCCGTGGTGAGCGCTCAGCTGGGTGCGCCATTGGATCGTCCAAGCGAGGCTCCCTTGTCATTAACACGGAGTTTTCGCCAATGGCTGATCCCTGGGCGTCCTGGGGAATTAGCAGCAGAGCGGTATGCTTTCTCTTTGTTGGAGCAGGAATCAAGGCGTCAAGGACACAGGAATCTGCAGCAGGTTTAGGAGAGATTAAAGGAGATGAACGAGTATATAAGACTGTATACAACAAGCATTGAATAGTAGCTTTTTCCCGTTCCATCATGGTATCAGAGAACATTCTGTTCAGCTCTATTCCTATGGGCAGCGGGCTTGATCCAGTTCACTCGCGCAACGTAATGCAGATCATGAGAGCCATGAAGCTCACAGGCGAAGCTCTGCCTCAATAGGGCTTCTTCATATTCTTCCCCCGCACTCTGTCTCTGTAGAGGTGCGGCGAGGCAGCGATGCGATGGGCACTAACAGGCATCCGAAGGTGACTATGATAGCAAAAGCAGCCTTGCAGTGGACATACCCGGAGTCCAGGCGATGGTGTCCCTAGAGGGCCGTGAAGGAGTTCACTTAGCAAGGAAACAGCAGGGATTTGGAAGGATTTCCCCATGGAAATTAGTGCTGGCAGGGAAATCACGGAGGCTTTCTTTGTGAGCTGTCATCTGGCCACTGGAGAGTTTTTCACCCCGATCCAGCCATTCGAGGGTCCTGGATCGCTCGACGATGTGGAGAAGCTCTTTGGTGGTGGAAAGGCTTCCTTGAGTGCACTTCGAGCTCTACCACCGACACGGCCGGAGCTTGTTCCACCGTGGAAGACGAGGGTAGTGAACGGTGGCAGGCTTGCGAAGCTTGAGGTTGGTTACCACTCGTCGACGTCAAAGCAGCGTTTCTAGCGGGGCTCGGGCAACTCTTGGCGGTGGCCGATGTTACTTCGATTGTTCTACACGAAAAGGAGAGAGAGAGAGAGAGAGAGAGAGAGAGAGAGGAGCATACCTTAAGCCACGATTGATAACACGTCCCAGCTCTACTGCTAATTCCCCAAGGCTCAAAGGAAGGATCAGCCATTGGCGAAAATTCCGTGTTAATGACCAGGGACCCCTCGTTTGGACGATCCGGGTATGGCGTCCCCAGCTGAGCGCTCACCACGGCCAGCACCCTCGTCTCCCCTTGCTGGACTTCCACAGCTCCATCTTCCCTGCCGAGAGAAAGATTTCGAGCGAATCGAGAGAAATTTCTCCTCTTACCTGGCGGAGCCCGGCCATCGACGCGCAGCTCCTGCCGCAGCGCCGATTCCACGAACTCCCGCTCGTTGATGCTAATCCGCACGCTGCCCGCCATGGCCAAAAACTCTAAACCTTAAACTCTAATAAGATTAAATGTTTGATTATTTTCTAATAAATATTATTATATTAAGATATCTGACTAATCAAAGCTTTAGAAGGAACTTCGTTCACGATTGTCTGAACCAATTGAACAAGCCTGCTATTCAGTGGCTGAAGAGGCCTTGCATTTTCTCCCTGGATAGAAAAAGAAAAAAAAATCTTGATTATTAAATCCATTAGTTTATAAAGATACCTTCAAAGAAGCTTTGAGCACCAAATACTGGCTGTGGAAACCAGAATTTTAGAGCTTTGAGCTGCATGGAAGGCTCAAAGACTCTCACCTGGGCACAAACATTCCATGAGAAATTCTTGGAATATGGAGGGGTTCCACAAGGATTTCAAGCAGTTCGGGATTGATAGTTCTTATAAATATAGTGTTGTCATCTTCTGCCAAACGTGGAAGATAACATTCCAGATGAAAACATTTTAAGTTAAAAGAAAAAACAATAACAAGATTAAATCTACCTGGGTAATAAACGGATCTGCCCTCGGAATTACTTCCTTTGGAATTCTTGTGAACCACGTGAATCTCCATAGAATATCTGCAAAGGATAGTAGTAAACAATAATAATCTATGAGGAGACTCCAGAAACCTTCTGCCATCGATGGTGTGCTCGCTTGGGATGTTGACGTGATATATTATCCATAGAAGATTAAACTGCCCGGCATCTCCAAGAAGTCCCACCCAGTTTTGAAAGATGTTTAAGAATAACAGGGACAAGAGTTCTAGCTACAAACAGTGAGTTCTCTAAGATCTTTAACCACGCGACGTTCAACGATCGCAGATGAGGTTTTGTCCACAACTCCTGGAGTAGCCGGGGAGCTCAAAGCAACTGGCGACTTGTTTTAAACCACTGGTGGCATCTGCCAAAAGAGAAAAACACAAAGAAAAGAGCCTCAATGGAACTCTACATATCCTTCTGTGGCTATTAACCTGCGAGAAACCAAGCAAAGAAAGGACACAATCAGCATTGGTGTGCAAAGGATGAATCGAAGGGATGAATTGGATAACAAGGAAAAGGAGTGTCTGGATTTGAACTGGACTCATGACTATGAGAAAAACAAACAACATGTGAGTTTTGGTACTACATGGTGTGGTAGAAGTTGACAAACTACATGATGTAGAAAAAGCTGCATGCATACGTACATAAGAATGCGTGTGCAAAAAACATCACATTAATATTATAAAAAGCGCATTTTATAAGTTCAAAGTTCGTAAACAAGTTTATATTTATAAAATAGGAGATGCACCCTAAACCCTAAACCTTATACTCTAATAAGTTTATTTTTGATAATTTATACTCAATAATAATAATAATAATTATTATTATTATTATTATTACTACTACTACTTTTTTTTATTTTTATTAGTGAGACATTTTATTATGTTTGATCAAAGCTTTAGAAGGAACTTCTTTCATGAAAGTCACTCCTAACCAGCTGAACCAATTGAACAAGCCTGTTATTCAGTGGCTGAAGAGCCCTTGCATTTTCTCCCTGGATAGAAAAAGCAAATAATTCCTGATTATTTATTTGATTAGTGAATAAAGATACCTTCAAAGCAGCTTTGACTGCCGAATACTGGTTTGTTGTGAGACTGCTCGGCTGTGGAAACCAAAGAAAAACAAAAGCTATGAGCATAGAAGGCAGGTAGCAGGACTCTCACCTGGGAATAAACATTCCACACGACATTCTCGGAATATGGAGGAGTTGTAAGCGAGCCATTGTATCGGAAGAACATGTCCGAAGGGATTTGGAGCAGTTCGGGGTTGATAGTTCTTATAAACACAGCATTGCTTTCTTCGGGGGAGGATGCTAACCCGGAAAGATAGTGTTCCAGCTGAAGGTAAAAATAAATTTAAGTTTCACAACAAGCAAGAACAAGAATAAATCTACCTGGGTGATAAATGGATTTGCTCTTGGTCCAATATCATAGAGCAATCCAATTACTGCAATGTTCCCTTCGGAATTCTTGTGAACCACATGAATCTCCATCGGATATCTGCAAAGGATCATAGTAAACAATTAATAATCTACGAGGAGACTCCAGAAACCTTATGCCATCGATGGTGTGCTCGCTTGGCATATGAAAGTGAACATTTTCGATGTGGTATATTTTCCGGAGAAGATTAAACTGCCCGGCATCTCCAAGAAATCCCACCTAGTTTTGAAAGATGTAAGAATAAAATGACAATAATTCTAGCTACAAACAGTAAGTTCTCTATGATCTTTGTCCCCGCCATTTTCAAAGATTGCAGAGGAGGATCTGTATGTCGTGTCCACCACTCCTGGAGTACCAACTGACCCCCGGAAGCTCAAAGCAATTGGCGACTGGTGTTTTAGACCACTGGTAGCATCTGCCGAAAGAGAAAAACACGAGAAAAACACGAAGAAAAGCCTCAGTGTAGAACTCTACATATCCTTTTGTGACTATCAACCTGCGAGGAAAACCAAGCAAAGAAAGGAGACAATCTTCACTGGAAGCATTGTTGCGCAAAGGATGAATCGAAGGGATGAATCTGATAACAAGGGAAGGAGTGTCTGAATTTAAATTGGACTCATCACCATTAGAAAACAAACAACATGTGTGTGTACTGCAAGGTGGAAATTGACAAACTCCGTAATGTATTAAAGCTGCACGCATACATCTGTTAAGAATGCGACGCGCAAATAGTTTAAAAAGCCGTAATAAAGTTTATAATTTATAGACAAGGAGGATATTCCTATAAGAGAATATCCATTACCATTCAAAAAATATTAAAAGGTGAGATACAAGGTTTTCTAGATCTTACTATCAGAGGTAGGGGACTCGGAGGCATACGCGGGTCGCTTGCTCTTCTTCTCCAAGTAAACATACCAGCGATAGGCCTCCAGACCTGCGGTGGCTAGCACTGCTATAACCAAGAACGCCGTGTAGAGGTTCTTCAAAGTCCTGGACCCCTGGAGCAGCTTAAAACCCTTGTAAATGTTGGTGAAGATGAGAACGAGAGTGAGGTAGCCGAGGCCGTGATGGTAGATCTTCCAGTAGGGACGGATCTTGTGCTCTTTCTCTGGTCTGAAAACAAGCGAAAGCACCTGAAGGAGAAACAAGAACCTCCGTGTTAAGCTGAACCAAAGGCTTCATCTTTGATACCTGAAGTGTTGCAAAGACGAAGATGGCGGTACCGACGTTTTGGTGGATCTGAGAAGCAGCCGATTCTCCACTGTAGCTGGCGAGCTTAAGTCCGATTCCCCAGCCAACCACACCGAGAAGATAACCCGTGCACTGTAAACCGACGTGACCGAAGAACCATTCTCGGCGGTGGGAGTAAGGCCTGACATATCTAGCCACCATGACCCCGAGCGGTAGAAAAATCCCCCAGCCAACAGCATTTATTATTCCATGTTGCTGTAACACACGATAAGAAAGCTCAAGTTCTGTCCAAAAAACAAAAAAGAAAAAAAAAACTTACGAGTTTTAAAGACTGGTGAGGAGCTTGAGCACGGAGAATTCGATTGCTGCTCAAGTCGAGAACAGCGGTAGTCTGTCGGAGAAACGATGCGTCCGTTGTGTGAGGCAACGGGCTCAAGTTCCTGGTCCCGGGTCCTCGACAAAAAACGAGGTTGATCCTGGAAATTGACTGGTTGGTCGGCAGCGAGAGCTTGGCAAAAATGGTGACAACTCCGCTGGAAATATCAATGAAGCTAGAACCGACTAGTCTCAGCTCCGTGGAAGAAGCTGGCGAAGGAAGCGTACCTCGGAGGATCTGGGGAGTGAGGCTGTACTGCGCAACTCGGATAACGTTGCTCGAGTCTGTGAAGCCGAGGAGGACGTTGGATCCGAGCATCGCCGCTGTGGAGCCCGAGTTAATCCCCCAGCCGACCCAACCCGAAGAAGATGTCAAGAGAGCTCGAAACATGGTGTCCATTGTTCTTGCCGACGGATCGAAAGTCCAGGAGAGCTGCGACCAAGAGTTGAGGGAGGAGCACGAAGCGTACGTTCTGGTGTTGCCATTGAGGAGGATGCTGGCAGTGCAAGCTCCAAGAGCCGGGGTCGTGAAGAAAACCAGGATTGGAATGACAGAGTTGAGGAGCTGAATCATCTGGAAAGCAGAAGCTACTCGCGCATAAGAACCAGAGTAAGATCTCAAGGAAATGCAGATCTTCTTACCCGGAACTCAGGTGCCACTGTTCCACGTCTTAGTTGAGGACGAAATGTGGATGGAATCTTCCGTAAGTGACTTCACAACTAGAAAAAGGGGTCCTCTTTTGTTGGTAAGTCTGCGTTGAGGCGCTGCTTCTCCGAGGACGAGCTAGCTATCAGATCCCCCCCTCAAGCGTGGTCTATCTCGTTTTGTCCTCTATCTTGTTATTTTAACTCTGCGTCCTTTCTCCAGCCAATTGATGTGACAAAAGCGGCTCTTGGTTTGGTTTCGAGTGACTTTTCTTATGGAGACTCGTTGGTGGTGCTTCGACAGTAGCACTTTTCTGGAACGAAGGGCCCATCCGAGCTTGGAGTATTATTTTTCCTCTTCGTGATTTGTGCTTTCGATCGTCAACTCTTCGTCATCATCTTCGACTGGCCAAAGCCTGTTTCAAAAAATCATTAAAAGCGATAAGATGAAGTTTACCTGATCCACAATGGCAACTAAAAGCGCTCATTCCATAAACTTGCAAAAAAATGGAGCAGCTTACGCAGTTCAGCATATCGCACCTGTCCTGCACTATTGCCATTAGAATTGCAACGCAAAGAAAAAGCATGAATTACTCATTTCAATCCGACCACAGCTTACTCCCTCTGTCTCCACTCACAAGATCTGCGCAAGATGTCCGGGAAAAAGTCAGTTACTAACATTATAAAGGAACAAAGAAACGAACTCACCACGAAGCTGAAAGCCCCTCGAGCTTTAGTCAAACGCTTTTTTTTTCTATGCTTATCGGCATGTTTCTGGTGATTCTTTTGAGATGGATCCGAGTTATCCTTGATATTCCACCATTTTCTGTGACTCTATCCAGTAATCCATTACCTGTAGAACAAAAATCATTAAAATATTGAAGACAAAGAGTGTAGATTGACTGTAGAACACACTTGTCACAGGAAGATTCTTGAGCTCGAAACACCAAGGGCCTACCAGAAGAACAAACAAAAAAGTCACTTAGATTTCAGATCATACATGGAATGGAGCAGCAATGAGCACGATCCAGCTGCATCGCACAAAATCTAGCACTGTTTATGCGCCGGCAACATACCTTGGTCCAGGCAATGCGATCTAGCCCCGTGTTCCAAGGAATACCTTGATCCAAACAACGCGATCAAGCCGCGTGTTCCAAGGAAGAAACCCTAGAGATACCCTGGCGATTAAGCGGGAATAGGCAAGTCAAATGAGCGGTGGCGATTAAGTTGCATATTCAATTTCAACAATGATCAGCTTGACACGTGTCGTGCATACAGGCCGTCACTTTCTTGAAAAAAATCTTCTATTTCCGCTTAAAGACACGTGCCGCAGCACGTCTGGCTGTGATTGGCTGGAGGCTCGTGCCAAGCACAAGGCCGCCTTTCCAAGCGTTCAAATCTGGACGCTCCATCGCCTCGCCATTGTGTCGCGCCCACATTCCGCCAAACGTTTTACAATCTCGACCGTTGATACATTCCGGAAGCCATCTGACGGGCACTGCTGCTCTAAAACTCCGGACGAAGAAAAGCTTTGGGGCTTATCCTTGTAGCGCTTATCCCTCGTTGCCAGAGTAGCGCGTGTAGATCGATCTCGAGAGAAAATGCTATCAGTTCGTGTCTCCCCCGCCACATCCGCCGCGCTCGTCAATCCGGCGCCAGCGGCAGCTCCAGAGAATGCGAGGAACAGGCTCTTCGCCGGAATGTCAAGCGGCAATAGGCGCTCGATCAAGCTCCAGGCCTCCAAGGGAGCGCCGCCGAAGGAGATGGACAGCGGATCTCTCACAGGTGTGGTGTTTGAGCCCTTCGCGGAGGTGAAGCACCAGCTCACGCAAGTCCCAGAGACGAGCTCGGTCTCATTCGCGAGGCAGAGATTTGCTCCAAGGTGCGAGGCTGCTATCAATGACCAGATCAAGTAAGCTCTCTTTCTTTCTCTCGAAAATATTTTGGGATCTTAGCTCTTTGCGTTTCTCACAGTGTGGAGTACAACGTTTCTTATGTCTACCACGCGATGTTTGGCTATTTCGATCGAGACAACGTTGGGCTCCCCGGCATGGCCAGGTAAGAGGTGGAGAGATCTAGTTTTTCCCAGATCAAGTGATCTTTTTCCTCAGGTATTTCAAGGAGGCAAGCGAGGAGGAACGAGGACACGCCGAAAAGTTCATGAAGTATCAGGTGATCTTCTTTTTTTCTTAAAGTTTGTGGGAGGTGTTCTTCAATCCAAGCTCACTCTCGTTGGTTTTCTTTTTCTTTTCTTTTTTGCGTTTAGAACCTCCGCGGTGGAAAGGTTGTGCTTCACTCGATTCTCGGCCCCAGCATAACAGAATTTGATCACGCAGAGAAGGGTGACGCCCTTTACGGTATGTTTGCAAGCAATTCTCTCTTCTTTTTTTGTTCTCGTGATTAGATTTTCTCATTCTCGTTTGTTTTGTTTTGGCAGCGATGGAATTGGCTCTAGCTCTGGAGAAGCTGACAAACGACAAGCTGCTGGCACTACACAAGGTTTGAGTGCTCCAAAAATTTTCATTGTTTATCGCTTTTGTTTGACGAATCGAGACAACGCAGGTCGCAGTAGATCACGACGACGTACAGATGCAAGACTTCATTGAGTCGGAGTTTCTGGGAGAGCAGGTACTAAATTACTTAATCTTTTCTGCGATTTTCACCTCTTTAACGTGCTTTTGTGCTCGATAAAGGTGGAATCGATCAAAAAAATCTCAGTGTATGTGAGCCAGTTGAGACGTATCGGCAAAGGCCACGGTAAGAACCAAAAAAAATTGGTTTTTCTGTTTGCTAAACGTTTCCTTTTGATGCAGCTGTGTATCATTTCGATCGGAGCCTCCACGATGGAGAAAATTAAGAGCTATAGCTAAAATTTTTAAGGATGAAAGTTCCTTTGTTTTTGTACAGGGGATTTGTTTAGCTATAAAAGACAATGCTATGTTGAATGACATAGGAATAGTAAGAAAGATCTCGCTAGGCGGCGGAGAGAGCGAGAGAGAGAGAGAGAGAGAGAGATGGCTTCGTGGGCGATTGCGCTGGCGCTGGCGATGCTGTTTCCAGCAGCTGTGCTCGCAGGCGATGATCGATCGCCCCCGGATTGCACAGCGCAGGTGTCGGAGCTGGAGCCCTGCCTGGAATTTGTCAAGGGCGAGGAGCGATCGCCCTCGGCGGATTGCTGCAGCGGTCTCCAGCAAATCCACGCCACCAAGCCCGAGTGCCTGTGCTTGCTCGTCTCCTCCAGCCTGGGAATCGCCGCGGTGGTGCCTGGAATCAATGCCACACTCGCTCAGCAAGTTCCCGGGATTTGCAATGTTCACGTCAATCCATCGCGCTGCTCTGGTGAGTCTTTTGTTTGGTCGCGGGGAAATCTTTGCTCATTTCGATCATCCGGTGATATAGCTCTGCTCTCTGGATCATCTGGCACCGCTTCTTCGCCCAATTCCGGAGCGTCGGCAGAAGGTACATGGATCGAATTCCCAGAAGCACGAACTGAATCTCGTTCTTGAATTCCTCGCAGGGTTTATGGGATCCTCCTCCAGCGTCGGCGAATCGAGCTCCAAGGCATTCTTTGTTTTTGCGTTCTCTACTCCTTTTTCTGTGCTCTTCTTCTTCCTCGCATGAGCCCTAATAAAAGCGTTTGCCCTAATTCCAGAAAATGGCGCGAGCGAGCCAGCTGGCCAAGCATTTGAAAGATCAGTGCTTCCATTGGTCGAATCGTGTGACGCCACGTGTCAGCGCTTCATGCCCTAAGAAAGAGCAATTAATGGAGGAATTGGTGCTCGTCACTCTCGAGAGAACGCGCTCGCGATCGATGGGACGCTTTCTAGGTATATAACCGGCATTCTCCCTGCTCCTCCCTCCCAGCCGATCTTGATCGATCGCTCGCGCTCCCCTGTTCCATTGCTTCCTTCTCCTCGATCGAGCGCTCGCGCTAGCGATATTTCTTGCCTCCATCGGTCGATCCAGCGCTCGATATCACGGTCACACCTATGGCATCCTCTCTCTTGCTCCTCGCGTTCGCGGTTTCTTGGGGGGCCGTGGCGATCCTTGCCGCGCAGCCGGATTGCACGAATGAGATCGGGCAGCTCCAGCCGTGCCTGGCGTATGTGGAGGGCCAAGTCACCGCTCCCAGCTCCGATTGCTGCAAAGGGCTCCTCTCCGTGCACACCAACAGGCCAGTGTGCCTGTGCATTCTCATGTCCTCCTCCACCAGCGTGAATAGCAGCACCGCGACGCTCCTCCCATCGATTTGCAAGGTCGACACGGATCCAAAGCGGTGCCCAGGTATGAATCGAGCATTTCTTTTTCTCTCATTTCGGTTTAAACTTTGGCCTAGTTTTTTTTACTTGTGACTTCGCTGGTAACACCATTCTTCTTTCCACTTAAGAGTCCTTTGTTCTATACTTGAAGAGTCCTTTGTTCTATACTTCAGAGTCCTTTGCTCTATTTGGACTGTTTGGATTTTTTCTTCGTCCTTCTAGCATTCACTTCTCCTTGTCCGATAATTAATTGCTTGGATCTTCATTTTTGGTAGCTCTGCTCAAGGGGGATGCTGCGGCACCAACTGGATCATCCTCATCCCCATCCACCGCGTCCGGAGGTAACAAAAAAAAAGCTTTTGTTTGTTCTTTGATTTTAGAGTGGCCATAGCTTTAACACCATTTATTGCTCTACCAGGCAAGGCCGCCGCAAGCGACACGGCTGCGAACTCCGCCACCCCGTTCGTCTCCTTGTCCTCGTCGCTGCTCCTGACCGTGACGAGCTTGCTCCTGGCGGGATCCATGAACTTCTTGTGAAGCTTTCCAGTTCTTTTGTGAGTTTGTAGCTAGGAGGAATGTGATTTTCTTTTCCCTAGCGGTTGCTATACTATTGTTACATTATACACTATTAGATTCTGTCATACTTTGGCATATGAATTCTCAAGTTTTAGTTGCATCCAGTTCCCAGGTTGAGATTGATCTTGCAGTTGAGGAGCTTGAACTTGAGATCAGCGAGGTCCAAGTCTCCCAGAACCGGGCAAAGGCAGCCATGGAAGATCCCGAGCTGGAAGAAATCGCAGCATTCCTGGGACACGAATGGTTGCTGGAGGCTAAGGCAAGTTGCCATCTTCACCAAGTTGCAAACTCCATCGCCACCGGCGTGAAACTCGAGCGTTTCCACACCTTTTCGTGCCTGACAGCGAGACAAGATGATCAAGACGACGAGAATTTGAATGGCAAATTTCATGGCTTCAAGAATTTAATTGTGAAAAACGAGAAGGGAAAAATCTGCTCTTTGTCATCCGGTTATGAAATTTATAGTCGCAAAGATTCAAGTGATGATTTTGTTGGTGCCAAAGAATCAAACATAGCTGCAAAACGCCCGCCCTCTTCGAGTAAAATTCGTGTCTCATTATTTTTGTAAGTCGCATGGAGACTCCACCACACAGTGAAACTCATCATCAAAGGCGCCTGTAGCTCAGCGGATAGAGCGTCTGTTTCCTAAGCAGAAAGTCGCAGGTTCGATCCCTGCCTGGCGCGGATTCCTTTCGTGCCCTTCTTTCCCTCTCTTTACTTTTTCGATTCCTCAGATGTGGTTTGCTTGGAAGCAATCACAAGCCCAAGTGTATGTCAAGACAACAACTACAACACCATGCAAAACCTTTCATTATTCATGCCTCCTCCAACCCAAGGTATAAAAAGGCAATGCTGGTCTTCCAAGATCCATAGCTCCCATAGATTTACAATCAATCTCCCTTTGGATTTGAAATGGGTCTAAAGTTTCCATGGATGGCTTTTGCTGTTGTGACATTGTATGTTGTTCTTATGGTTGTAACATTTGGGCCAGCATCAGTCTCAGCTCAAGGCCGGACTTGCAATGTTTTGCCCGCGGCCAGCTGCATCATGGGGGCCTCCCAGAGTGACTGCTGCTCCACGCTCACTACCGTGCTAAACAATTGCCTGTGTGCCATGGGCAATCCTGCCACTACTGGGTTGCCTGTGGAGCTGGACGTGGTCTTCCATCTCAATCAGCTCTGTGCTATCAAGGTTGACCTTGGAGGCCCTTGCAACTGATATATATATAAGAATATTTCATGCTCACATGAATAATTGATGATTCTTACATGGAATATTACAATATAAGGTTTAGGCAAATCACGTATTTAAGAATTGATATTAGAAGTTGGTAGATCTATTAATGATCTCCTAGAAAGAATCATTTGCATCAATCATCCTTGCATTCGAATCTTTTCTCCAATCAGCCCCTTCAAACACGCCTATAATCATTCTGAAGGCCAGCCTTCTATAGTATCACTCTCATCTTTAAATAATTTAATGTTTGGTTTTCTTTAGAAAAACTAAGATGTAAGGAATCTCTTTGTAGATTTGTCTTGAAGATGATACTTAACATTGTGTAGTAGTACCCAGTGGCTTCATAGAAACTTGGCTTGTTTTTGCTCTTCTTGCAACAGTAATAATAACAAGATGATTGTAAGCACTAGTTGTGGTCATGGGTTTAGCAACAATAGAGACAAAGTGGCTAGATCATCAAAAAATATATAAAAACTCTTCATATCAGAAAAGAATGAAAAGAATAAAGGCATCTTTAAGTGCTAGCTGCAAAGATGATAATGGAGAATTTAATCAATTTTCAAGCTCAATCTTAGAGGCAATATATTTTTTTTTTCCGTCCTTTTTTCAGAGTCTCCATTAGTAAGTGTTGGAGAGAAGCATTAAGCATAGATGTTTTCTTTTGTTCAGAATTTTTCTTTTAAAGAAAGTTTCTTTGTTGAGTTTTTCATGGCTTGGAGTTAAATTCTACCGTAGCACCATGAAAATCCTCTTTCTTGTTTTATTGATATCACATTATAGACAACTTTTACAATTGTCATGAATGTGACTTTGGATATTAAAAATAGTTGTTGGCAAATTCTAGGAGGTTAGTACTATTAGTTCCTTTATTAGTCTCTACCCAAATTAATTAAGAAACTAATCAATCATGGACTAAATTTTTACGTGCTATTAATAAAGTATACTTCATCTATTTAGAGAAACTCATTAATTTTTAAGTGCTATTAGTAAAACAGTAAAATATACTTTAGTTAGAGAAACTTATAAATTAACTTGCACTTCCTAGTATTTTGATATTGTGTTAATATTACTATATAATAGTTTTTACTATGTTATAGGTTGATCTAGGTGTTAGATATTTCAATTGGGCATATCTATAGAATTTAAAGAATGTTTTTACCACTTAGTTTATTTATCTATTGTTGCAAATATAACTTCAGGTGTTAAAAGATACTTATTAGCTAATCCTTATGAACACTTTCTTTTACTGCCATAACAGCAATAGGTCGGTATTCTTAATTTTCTTTGTTAATCTTCATTTAAGCTAGTTGAGATTAACATATATGCATTTAAATTGGAAAGGCACTAAGGAAGGAGGTCTTGGCTGTAGTGATAGAGAATCAAATCCTAAGTTGTCATTAAGTCAAACATATTTAACATGTTAAATGAGAAATTCATGTTATTAACTTGCACTTGCTAGTGTTGAAAACTCTATGATATTGAGTTTAGTCCCTCAATATTGATATGTGATAATTTACTGTGTTTGCTAGACACCCTTGCTATCATACCCCACATGTTGGTCCATTTAAGTTATATATGTTATTTATAATAAGTTTCTCAATTCACAACATAGCATAGTTTTATATTTAGTAAATTTTGAAGTTTATCCCAAAAATTAACTCTTGAGATTGGGGTGAAAGCCCAAAGTGTGTTTTAAAGGGGGGGTGGACTCAACCACTTAAAAAATTAGTTTAGCTCTCACTAGGCTATATTATTTTTTATTTTGCATCTTGTTACTCTAGTTAGTGGGGTACCCTCATATTAAGCCATTGTTATACTGAAATTATGCTAAATTTTATCTAACACTATTTTGATGAAGAAGGGCATTTAGAGGGGAGGG